TGAAAGGACTGGTGTCACTTAGAGATTACAGAGTTTAAGACGTCATGAGACATTCTGTTCTAAAACATTATGTGTCAAGTGAATATCATTTTTTTGGATGCTAGGGCTTTAATGTTTTGCCTCTCTATCTATAGCACTCAGCATAGAGTAGGTGCTTAATAAATGTTTCCTCTTGTTATTCCACAGCCATTTTTTATTTCTTCATTTGTGATATAGAATATAATTGTTTCCTGTTTAAACTAAAGGGTGCCTCTGGGTAAGAAAGTGATTTGCTCAATAAAGTGTTAGAAATAAGGAACTTTTTATAACTTTAAAGTTGATGTCTTACCATTTAATAATAATAATAATAATTATAGATTACATTTATGTAGTGCTTTAAGGTTTTAAAGCACTTTATATCTGTTACTTCATTTGATTCCTACAACAACCCTGATGATGATTATAACGATGTTCAGTTGTTTTAGTCATGCCCTACTCTTCATAACTCCATATGGGGTTTTCTTGGCAAAGATATGAGAGTGGTTTGCCATTTCCTTCTCCAGCTCATTTTAAAGATGAGGAAACTGAGGCAAACAGGGTTAAGTTACTTGCCCAGGGTCATACAGCTAGTAAGTGTCTGAGGCTTGAGGCTAGAGTTGAACTCAGGTCTTCCTGACTCCAGGACCAGTGCTCTACCCACTGTGCCACCTAGCTTTTCTCATAACATCCCTGACATACATACTATTATTATCCCCTTTTTGCAGATGAAGCAACTGAAGCTGAGGGAAATTGTGACTTATTCGGGATCACACAGCTGCCTAGTAAGTACCTAAAGCAGTATTTGACTCATCTTTCTGACTCCACCTTCACCACTCTATCTATTATTATACTCTATCTATTATTATACCGAAACAAGAGGTATAAATTAGAAACGGTGGTATTTATGAGGTTTAGGAGTACAGTGGAATAAATGAAATAAGACCTAGCATTTATATAACACTTTAAAGTTTGCAAAGTATTTTACAAAACATTACCTCATTTTATCCTAATAACAACCATGAAAGGTAGGTGCCATTTTTACCCCCACTTTACAGATGAGAAAACTGAGGCAGAAAGAAGTTAAATGACTTGGCCAGGGTCTCAGAGCTAATACGTGTTTGAGTCTCGATATGAACTTGGGTCTTTCCAACTCCAGATTCAGCACTCTACCCTTTTTTCACTATTAAGCTGCCTAGTTTATCAAATACTTACTCCATATTCAGGTCTATACTAGTCACTTTGGGGTTAGACTGCTATTACATGACTCAATTTAAAACACACACACACACACACACACACACACACACCCCAGTCAATTTAGTAAGTGGTATCAAATTCACACAGAAATGGGGGCCGCTAATCCATACGTAAGATCTCATTGGACTGCATATTGACTTAAAATGTATTGTGATGTTTTATTGTATTTTTATTTTGTTAAATATTTCATTTACTGCATTTTAATCTGGTTTAGGCCACCCTTGGGAGTTTTGTAGGCCTCCTGTGTCACTGGGACTATGTGTTTGTCACTTCTGCTCTAAGTAATGGAACCCCCAACATTTTGGCACAAAACAGTGACAAGGTGAGACTCATGCATTACAAAGATTATTGTGACAGCTATGTGAAGGACAGATTAAAGAAGAGAGAGGCTGGAGTATGGGAGAGCAGTTGGGCCATGGGTTAAAGGTGAAAGGTGTTGATACCTTGAACACAAGTGCTGTCAGTAGAATAGAGAGAAGAGACTATTATGTTAGAAGACATTATGATGGGAGAAAAATCAGGGCTTTGAAAGTGACTTGATGTAAAAGATGAGGGAAAGGAAAGGGTCAAAGACGATGCTGAGGTTTCAAGCCTGGGTGACTGGGAGGATGGTGTTACCAGCAATAGAAACAGGGGAAGTTCGAAGAAAGGGTAGCTTACAGGGGAAGATAATGAGTGGGCAGCACAGAGTAGAAAAGGGAGTATTAGCAGGATTTGGACTCAACATGACCTAGGTTCAAATTCCACGCTTACCAGCTGTGTGACACCGGGCAAGTCACTTAATCTCTACGTGTCTCAGTTTCCTCATCTGTCAAGTGAGGGCCTGGATCAATGGTTCCTTACAGCTCTAAATCTACGATCACATGAAGTAAGCTCTGGATCAACTGAGTCTGAGGTACCAGTAGGACATTCAGATAAAGAAGCCAGAAAGGAGCTGGAAATGTATGATGTCAATTACAATTCTACATGCTTATGTCTTCTTTCTTAAGGAACTGTACTTAAGGAACTTTGCCTTCTCTACAGTATAGGTACAAGGCCAGGGCCTTGTACACAGCAGGCAGTCAATAAATACTTGTGGATTAACTGACAGATGTACAAAACATCAAGGTTGAGAAGGAGGTGGTAGGAAAGAAGATAAAAGAAGACAGAGACACAGGCAATCCCTAGGTTAAAATCACTGGTGAGTTTAGAAATTCATTTGTAAGCTGATTTTTGGAGAACTTGGCACACAGTTTCCTATAATGACATATTACACAGGTGATTAGGTTTCCCCCAGGTTTCTTTTAGTAAGTGATATACCTAAGAGAGAGCATGGAAAGACAGCCAGCCTCCAAGTGACACCTCAGTTGGATTCTCACCTCTGGTACCTACTGGGCAAGTCACTTAACTTCTTAGTGCTCCAGGCAACTCTACATCTTCAGACGCGGCTTCAGAGCTGTGTTTGACCCATGCTGGGAATTTACTATACCAATGAAATCACAGGTTTGATTTTATTTTTAAGGTCCTTAAAGCATAGTTCTGTCCTAAGAGTTCTATAGTATACAGGATAGTAAATATAGATATACTATCTATAGTATATAGATACAATGTTTTTTGGGGAAATCTCCAAGGTTCACCTTGGGAGGCCAGGATCACAACTCACCCCCACCCCCCTTGCCTGCTATAGCCCTGGCAGTAAAGTTGGGTACTTCCTCTCTCCATAATCCACATCTTTGTAGCTGTGGCAGCAGGGACTCTCCCAGCCTAATATTAGTAACAGTGGTGCAGGGGGTGCATCAGATGCTGGAGATAAGCCTCCACCTAGGATTTCTCTCTTCCTTGGATCTCCTCAGAACAGAACTCAGTCTCGTGGCAGCAACTCCTCATTTTACCCCTGAAACAGGTTCACACCTCTTTCAGGTCATTCTAAGGATTTGCTAGCAGCAGAAAAGGAGTAAGAAGGCTCCTCTATGATGTGCCTCCTTCCCCACCCCCTCCAACTTCCTTCCCCTTCTCTTTCTCCCACAGAACCAGCAGGAAAAGACAAGGGAGATAATACTGATTCTTTGGTGTCACAAAGAGCTGAAGTAAGAGTCATCTATGTTTAGGAAATTTACCCTGACTCTTGAGTTGTCTTGGTGTTTCATCACAGTAGCTAGGGTGGCCTGCAAAACCAAGGTGGGAGGGGGAGGGGAAAGAGGGAGAACTGGTCCGAAGCATTTACTTTTCTCTTTCTCTTGCTGTTCTACTTGCCACTCAGCCCTCAACGGGAATTGGGACAATGCGAGAAGAAGGGACCAGTTGGGGGTGGTCAGCCCTAGGGAACAGCTGGCTTTCCAGTGTTGAGGAAGAGGCAAGGGAAGAGAAAAGGAAACTCCCAACACGCAGCAACTGGGAAGCCAGGGGAATTCCTATGGATACCTGGTTGAGGTCACAGGATCATAGGACTATAGTGCTGGGAGAGACCTTATGGCCATCATCTGGTCCTACCTGATTATTTTGCAAATGAGGAAAGTGAGGCTCCAAAGAGGTGATATGACTTACCCAAAAACCCAAAGATAATAAGGAACAAAACTAGGATTCAAACCTACATATAACTCTACAGCCACTATTTTTCCACCTTTATAAAAGGTGGACTCCACCCCTGCCCCCTGGCTCTGATAGGTGAATTTTTGCCTTATCTTGCCAGACCTCCATGCCACTTTCCTGAAGGCTCCTCACCATCGCCTTACTCTGTGATGTCTCAGTTCCCCAGATAACTTGGACTCCCCTGGAATCCCTTGGCTCTAATAGGTGAGCTTTCACCTTAACTTTGTGGGAAGGCAGGCCTCCTCAACACTTCCCAACAGTCTCCTTATGACAGTGATCCGGACCTTCTCTCCCCACCCCACCCCCTCCAGGTTCCCTTTCTTTATATGCGCTCTTCCCTCTTTAGAATTTAAGCACCTCAAGGGCAAGACCAGTTGGCTTGCCACTCCATAATAAATTCTTAATTCTCTCTCTGTCTGTTTGTCTGTCTGTTTCTCTCTCTCTCTCTCTCTCTCACACACACACACACACACACACACACACACACACAGTGCCCATCCCATAGCAAATTCTTAATAAACTCTCTCCTTTCTCTCTCTCTCCCTCAGAGAATAAAGTCATCTTAAAATGTTCCTCCTTTCAAAGTTTTCCTACATAGATTCAAATATTGAGATTCTTGACTTCCTGGCTCCTACTAAGAAGGAATCCCTTACATTTGGCTGGTGCTCTGATGGTTCACAGAAGCGCTTTCACATACATACATACATATATATATATCTATATATATACAGATATATATTCTCATTCTCTCTTCAAAATAATTTTATCAAATAGTCAGGGTGGGAATTACTCACTTGACACCTAAGAATAGTGGATCTCAGAGAGTTTTAATGACTCGTCCTAGTAAAAAGGGAAATGGAACTACAACTTCGGTTACCTGATTTCTAGTCTAGCGCTCATTTCACAGCCTAGCTAGTTAGTTTGTAAGCCCCTTGAAGGCAGGGACTGTCTTTTGCCTCTTTTGTATTCTGAGAGCTTTGCATGGAGCCTGGCACATCACAGACACTTCATAAATGTTTATTGAATTGAATTTAGTAATTATTGTTTGTTGTTCAGTCCTTACAGTCAGCTCTCTAACTCTTCAGGATTCCATTCGGGGTTTTCTGGGCAAAGATACTGGAGTGGTTTGCCATTTCCTTCTCCAGCTCATTTTACAGATGAAGAAACTAAGACAAATAGCGGTAAGTGACTTGTCTACGGTCACACAGCTAGTAAATGTCTGAGGGAGGATTTGAATTTAGGTCTTCCTGACTCCAGGTTCAATGCTCTATCCACTGTGTCACCTAGCTGCCCTGAATTTAGCAATAAGTCCCTATTTTTTTTAAAGGATTTAAAACGATTTTATTGCATACTGAGTGTGTGGGTATATAAAATTATTGGCGTGAATTTATCAAGTACTTTCTCTATGCCTAGGTACCCTGAAAACATACAAGAAGTAAGGTATGTGGTAGCAGTCAAGTTTATCATCTAATTATGAAGATGAGATGCACCTTCATTCATTTTTACTCATCCATTCATTCCACACACCTATGGTAAGTACCCATTATGTGTGAGGCCTTGTGATAGGTGTGGAGACATAAAGATGAAAAAATGACGAACCATTTGCCCTCCAAAACTTTAAAGTCTACTGGAGGGAGTATGACAAACAAGTGTGATACAAGGGATGTGTCGGGATGTGTCAGGATATTACAGGGAAAGGTGAAATTCAGACAAAGAACCCTATGAGGGAGATTACAGTCGTAGGAATCAGGAAATGCTGAGTATATATGCATGTTTATATGTGTACATATATGTATATATGCACATATACATATATATTATATGAATCACACTTGTGTATAATATATACATGCTATGTCTGTTTACCTATCATCTCACAGAACAACACAAAGTCACACACAATGAAGTGTTAGATTATAAGTACATGTTAATTTATCTATGTCTCTGTCTCTATCTCACTCGACAGATCAAGGATTCTTCACCTGCTGTGTCATAGACCCCAAAGGCAGTCTGCTGAAGCTTACGGTCCCTTTCTCAGAATAGTGTTTTTAAATGCATACAATAAAATACCAAGATAACAAAGGAACCAATTGTTGAAATATTGTTATGATTTAGAAAAATTATGAATCTCAGGTGTAGAGTCCCATCTAAGGGCATATACCTATACTAAATCATAGAATCTCCAAGTTGGAACAGTCCTCAAAGGCCACTGATCCAACCCTTACCTGGAAAATAATCCCTATTACAATATCTCCAGGAAGCAGTCAGCCTGCCTCCTCTGGAAAACCTCCAATCACCGGGGAATCAGTATTGCCCAAGGAAGCACAAGTGGGCTCCAGTTGTTAGAAAGCATCTCCTTACTGGAAGCCTAAATCAGCCTCTTTGAAACTTCAACTCACTGTTCCTAGTTTTTCTTCCTGGAGACAAGCAGAACACATCTCATTCCTCTTCCATATCTTATTGAAGGCAGATACCACATATACCCCAAGATTTCATTTTTTTTCCTAGCTAACAGAGGGTTTTTAAAAATATATCTTAAACGGAGCAAAACTGACTCTGGTTCTGTTCAAAGCAATGTATCATGACTGTATATGATGTGAAGGTAGTGAAGTAATCTCACAAAAGATGTATTTTAAAGGTCTACTATAAATTATTAACATCTGAGTTAATTTGGTAGATAGGAAAAAAGAGACTTCCATGTTCACAAAGTATCTTGGGCAAAGAGAAAGAAGTGAGATATGAAAAATCACATGAAACAAAGGTAAGCAATGTATACTACTCTAGTTGGATGGGCAGACTGGATCACATCCATTGATATGATACTGGAATGTCTTTATTAGGTAGCGAGGATATTTTACTCTTCCCTTCTATATTCTTGTATTTCTAGCTTAGCAGAATGCCTGGCACATAGTAAGTACTTAATAAATGTTTATTGATTGACTGATAGATCACACTCAGGTAAGGGTCATGGAAAAATACATTTAAAATTATATGCCTTCTGAACTCTTCAGGCAAGCACTATGTATGTGTATGTATATATATATATATATGTATACATACATACGTATATACACACATACACACACATATACTTGATATACTTAACAAAGTCCACATTTTCCTCAGTATTATTTATCTTGTACGTATCAATTTACATTATGAGAACGTGAGTTCCTTGTGTACCTTCTATGTACATGGAACATATGTGCATGTAATAAAAGTTATGCATCTAATTATGAATGACTAAATATGAATAAATTTCTTTTTCTACAGCCCTATCTAAAACTTATATAAAATTATTTCTCTGAAGTTTTGCTGCCAAACAAGAATACATTTATATTATTCTTCCCTAAATCTATCAAGGCTCAAATTTCATTGATCACATTCCTTACCATCTCATTATTATGAAAGAATCTACAACCAACTTACTAAAAAGTAGGCACAAATATACAGTGAAAAAGTGTAACATCTCCCAACTGACAGCAATTAGTTCCATTTCTCCTTGCTGAAGAGCAACATTTTAAAAAATGTTTTTATTTTCTCAACAGTCACTACTGAATGCAAAGTAATGAATAATAATAATAATAACGATGATAGCTAGCATTTATATAGTGTCTACTATGTGTCAGGCACTGTGCTAAGTGCTTTACAAGTATTCTCTCAACTGGTCCTCACAACAACCCTGGAAGGTAGGTGCTACTATCATCCCTTTTTTACAGATGAGGGAACTGAGGCAAATAGAAGTTAAGTGATTTGCCCAGGCTCACACAGCTAGCAAATGTCTGAGGCTGGATTCGAACTTAGCTGCCCCTAATCAACAACCAGAATCATAATGGACTTTTCCCTCTCCATTATCTCTTGATAACCAATCAGGTGTCACATCTGTCACCATCCTTCCAAAACAGTTCTCACATTTCTCCCTTTCTCTCTACTAACACAGTCTAGTTCTGGCATTATTCATTTCCCACCTGGACTGAGTGATCTTCCTTTGTCTAGTCTCTTTCCTCTCCAACTCATCCTCTACCTAGGACTTACCCCCTATCTTCAAGGCTCTACTCAAGAGCCCATTTCTACACAAAGCCATCCCTGATTGCCTCCCCTTTTATCTGAAGTTTTTCATGATTGTCCTAACTGTTAGAATTCCTTCCTTCCCAAACTACTTTGAACAACTTTATAGGCATAATTTGCATTTCCTAATCTGTGTATAAATTGAGATAATTCTATGGTGTGGTAGATAAACTCGCTGGCCTTGGACTTGGGAAAACCTGAGTTTGAATCCTACCTTAGACAATTACTAAGTGGATGACCCTGGGCAAGTCATTTCAATTGTGTTTCTGTTTGCTCATCTGCAAGATGGGGATGATAGGAGCATCTTCCTCACAAGGCTGCTATGAGAATCAACCATGACATAACACATGGAAAGCACTCTACACATCTGCTCCATAGAAATGTTAGCTATTATTTTAATCACTGTATTCTCCACTGAATGTTTCATTTTTATCTTTTATCCCAAAGCCTAGCACTAGGTCTTGTACAGAGTAAGAATTTAATAAGAGTTGGTTGATAACAAAGTTTGTTGAATTGAATGGAAATATTTACTTTGGCCATTTAAAAAAGATAATGATCCTGCTTACAAAAAATATATAGATAAGAAATTCTAGGGATGGGAGGTACAGGGAAGGAAGTTGAAGCCAAGAAGAAAGGTCTTCAAAGTGTAGAACTATAAAACCAAGGACATAATTTGAATTTTTCTGAAATTTTCCACTACACATTCCATGATGATCACTGTGAGCATGAGAGATTTACATGAATATCATAATGTTATGACTTTTAGGTTAACTTACCGTGTTCAACAAAACAATTTGGAGAAGAGATTCTTAAAGTGATAGATGCCATGTTAGTCTAGCATAATGAAATAAGGGGCAGTGTGGAGTCATGGAAAGAGTATTTATTGGACTTGAAGCCAGAAGATCTGGCTCTGACAGCTACTAGTAGTGTCACAATCGCCAAGTCTCAATCTCAGCTTTCTCCCCTAAAAAAATGGGGACAATAATAGGGGCACTACTTGCTTAATGGATTTGTCATGAGGAAAACACTTAGGAAAGTATAAAAAACCAAAAAAAAAAACCTACCCTGTGTAAATGTAAATTGTTACCATTATGCCAGAACTGATCCATTAAAATGACTGTTGTTCTACAAGATAGTCATCCTGGGGGTTCTTACACATATTCCAATGATGCCAACATTGCTGAAAATTGTTTTGAATTCTTTTGCAGCTGCCCTCAGTTATCTCTTTTTTTTTTTTGGGTGAGGCAATTGGGATTAAGTAACTTGCCCTCAGTTGTCTTTAAGAGCCAACTAAAACTCCTCAGACTCCTTACTTGAGAGTCACAACTCAAAATGATTTGTACCCACCTTGATCAAATTACTAGACTTGGCTCCATATGACTTTTGCCTATTCCCAAGAATCAACTTTGCCCTTGAAGGAGCCCTTGACTATACTCAAAGAATGTGTAATTGGTTCTGAGGGTAATTCCCAAAGAGGAACCACAGGACTATTTGTTTCAATGGAATCATTGGGGAATTAAGGTGTCCCTCCAAGGAGAATATTTTGAAACAGGGTAACATTCATTGGAATATCTAAAATTTTCTTTGCCTTTTTTCCTCTTTCCATGCAATCTAATAAACTAGATTAGATCTTCGCACCTTGAAATGATGACTACTTTAATATAATTTTCCCAGAACTGCAATTGCTTCTAAAGTTCTTTAATTAAACGCTACATTTTTCTCAAACTTCACAAAAGCTGCATTTGTCATGCCAAGTGCAGAAAGACTCAGCCCCAGGAGGCTGCCCACCCAGTGATGATTTTTTTTTGTTCCAGAAATTCATGAAGACTATCTAGTAAGGCATGAAGGTGGGGCCATCTGCACTGTACTGAAATATCCCAATAGGATCATTTTCTTCCTGATTCTACCTAGATTCTGAGGCCATTTAATTCCCAGTCTAGTCATAAGCCCTAAGAAGTAACACAAAAATAATGAACTTAGTCTTTTTCTTTTTATCTCTCAGACAACTATACTCTGTCTTGAATTTCTTATCTTAACTGTGGTCTCGCTGAGTGCTGTGGCAATCTTTCCTCTCTGTCTTCTCCCAATATTTCAGCTTATGAAAAGGCATGAGTGGCTTGCTACTGAACTAAAGTAACTATATCTTGATGTATATCCAAGACCAAAGCAAAAAAAAAAAAAAATATACCCAAACCAAAGCCACATTGCAAAATATGTGGATCACGGCGTGCTCAGGAAGTTAGCAGCCACATAAGCACACTCTTGCCTCCAAAAAGGCAAGAAGAATATCATTTAGCAAGTTCCAGGCATTGCACAGGAAGGTTGGGGTCTGGGTTTTTACCATAACTATACTCTATCAAATGCCATGGTTTATGCCATACATAGGTCATCAGTACATTGGTGGTGGTACTGAAATGCCATGTTTTTCTCAAACTTCACAAAGGCTACATTTGTGCATCTTTTTCCTTTTTTAAAAAAAGTCACTCTCCTCAACCACAGCGACTTCATTGCTTCATCGGTTTCTGCAGCATCTTTTAGGAAGTTATTAAAAGGTTCTCCACAACCATTTCTGCAAAACTATTCCTTAGCTTTGATGAGGACCATCTTTTTATCTTGGCTCTAAATGCTGCCTCTGTTTCCCAAGATTAGTGGCATTTCCCTGGAATGTACAGAGCTTTGCATACTGGGGAGTGGTTTTCTGTTTCTTGACAACTAGTTAAAAAAAAGTGACTTAATAGCCCACAGAAAATATTTGCCTCTCACCTGTTACAAAGGTTCATGGCTGTTCTGAACTGTAGGAAAAAAGTACTGCATTTAGGGTCTGGGCTGGGATCTGGATTCTGCTTCTTACTGTCTATGTTACCTTGCATAAGTCATTTCACTTTTATGGACCCTAGTTTTCTAATGGGTAAAAGGACACAGTTGGATTTGTTCATTTTTAAGGTCTCTTCCAGTGGTA